CCCATGTACTTCTTCCTTGGTAATCTTTCCCTCCTAGACATTTGTTACACATCCTCCTTTACCCCCTCAGTGTTGATTCACTTCCTATCAAAGAAAAAAACCATCTCCTTCACTAGGTGTGTTGTTCAGATGTCTGTCTCCTACACTATGGCGTGCACAGAATGCGTGCTTCTAGCAGTGATGGCATATGACCGTTACGTAGCTATCTGTAACCCTCTGAGATACCCCATCATCATGAGCAAGGCACTTTGTATTCAGATGGCAGCCCTCTCCTGGGGAATGGGCTTTCTCAATTCACTGACAGAAACTATACTTGCAATACGGTTGCCCTTTTGTGGAAAAAATGTCATTAACCACTTTGTTTGTGAAATAATGGCTTTTGTCAAGCTGGCTTGTGCAGATATTTCCTTGAATGAGATTGCTATAATGTTGGGCAATGTAATATTTTTGTATATTCCATTATTGTTAATTTGCATCTCCTACATTTTCATCCTATCTACTGTACTAAAAATGAATTCAGCAGAAGGAAGAAAAAAAGCTTTTTCTACCTGTTCAGCCCACTTAACAGTAGTGACCATGTTTTATGGGACAATCCTCTTCATATATATGAAGCCAAAGTCCAAAGACTCTGCTATTGACAAATTGATTGCTCTGTTCTATGGAGTAGTCACTCCCATGCTCAATCCTATCATATATAGCCTGAGGAACACAGAGGTGCTTGGAGCTTTGAGAAAATTGATGAGTAGACACTGGTTCTGGAGAAAAGGATGAAAAACTTACATCTTCGAGTTCATGCACCAAATAAACTCATATATTTGAGGAAAAGGCTTTTATTTAAAACAGAGCAAAAGAAATAAAGATTGTATGTAGGATCACAGAATTTAGGAGTTGGAAAGAAATTTCAAGATAATTATCTAGCTTTCCCTTTTTATGAAAATGACTGTTACAAAAATGTAGACACAACTAGTATAAGTACTAAGAGTAAAATTTAAGGAATAAGAAAAAAGATGTAATTAAATGTTTCCAGGAAAATCCAGTACAGATTCTCTTCAACTGATGGAGTTATGTCCTGATAAACCCATCAAAATTTGAAAATATCATTAGTCAAAAATGTCTTTAATACACCTAATCTACTGAACATCATAGCTTACCTTGAAAATGTGCAAATGCTTACATTAGCCTATAGTTGGTCAAAACCATCTCATATAAAGCCTATTTGCAATAGAGTGTTGAATATTTCATATAACGTATTGAGCACTGTACTGAAATTGAAAAACAGAATGGTTGTATGGGTATGAAACAGTTATGAGTGTATCAGTTGTTTATTCGTGTGATCATGTGGCTCAAACTGGAAGCTGGGGCCACTGCCACTGCCTAGCGCAACAAGAGTATCATACCACATGTTACTAGCCCAGGAAAAGACCACAATTTAAATTTTAAAGTGTGGTTTCTACTGAATGCATATCACTTTCACATCATCATGAAGTTGAAATATCCTATCTCAAACCATTTTAATGTATGGACCATATGTATGTATGTCTGCTGAACAAGTAAAACATGTATCTTTCAGTTCCCTTTTGAGAGAACTACTTGAATTTTTGTGTTTGTTTGTTACTGCTTTTTATTTTACCCAAGGACTTGACCTGACTCCAACCTAATTTTTCAGGTACATATTTCCCCTTCTTTCCCTCCTCATGTTTCTCCCATGTTTGCACATGCTGTCTTACATTCACTATTACTTCTCCAATTATATCATGTTCTTTACACCTAAAGACAACAGCATATGCCACTTCGTCTCCATCCTCACATTTCTTTCTATGGTAACAGCCTAGCAATCTTATTAAGCACAATTCAAGTGTGAGATCTTCTACAAATCCTTCCAAAGTTTGCCCGCTTACTTATTCCCTCCTTTATGCTGTCCTGAACTTTATCTGTTATGGCTATTTTCCTTTTACACTATAATCATTTGTTCATTTCTGAAATCCACCCAATGGCAGAACTCACTGTTCTCTGTATGAAGTCTAATGTCAAATAAATTTAAACAGTAGGCAGTAAGTAATTACTTATTTAACATTTTTAAATAATAGTAAAATATAGTCTAAGTACTTGATTTAATACAGGGATATAAGAGAACTTGAATTTATGTATTATTTCATTGACTAATAACACATCGAAAAGTTATGGATAAAATATCAGCTAATATTAAATGTACAGAAATGTAAGGGAAGATAAAAGAAAGATAAATATACTCAAGAGGTCATTTGTGGGGTGCCTGGGTGGCTCAGTTGGTTGGGTGTCCAACTTCAGCTCAGGTCATGATCTCACAGCTCCTGGGTTCAAGCCCTGCGCTGGGCTCTGTGCTGACAGCTCAGAGCCTGGAGCCTGCTTCAGATTCTGTGTCTCCCTCTCTCTCTGCCCCTCCCCTGCTCACACTCTGTGTCTCTCTCTCTGTCTCTCTTAAAAAAGAGGTCATTTGGTCTGGGTAAGGCAAAAATCATATCAGTGTATACTTATTCTGTAATGAGCAACTGCTGAGAAAAATATCTATCAATTGTATAAACACTTCTTAAGGAATACTGAGAATTTCATTCTATCAAAAGCAATAATCTTATTTTAAATATTTCCTTTCAAAGAAATCCCCTTGAAATTGCTAGCAAATAATAATTGTACTTTTATTTTTTATGTGATTACGTAACATCTATTTGTATGTAATACAGGTGAGTTGCCTGGTACAGTCCCACAGCCTGAGCTGGATGAGGAGAGTGGCTCTGCTCAAGGGCCACCCAGCAAAGGTTTCAACAACCCAACAGAGTTCAGAAAGGAATCCCTGCTTGTTCTGCCTAGCAGGATGTTTGGGGTCTGATGGAATAAGTAAAAGGTCAACATGAAAGGGAGGCCCAGTTCAGGTAGTCAGAACCCAGTAGAATCAAAAGGACACCCATATATGGAATGACTCAGCTCAGACTGTCAGAGAAAGAGGGAAAGACAGAGAGAGAAAGAGATAACTTGGGGTATTTTATGCTTATATCCCTAAACACTACCAGAGTGATAGATTAGACTTGTAACACACTCATAGATGTTTCTCAATACATTGAAATCATAGGTAGATTCAAATATTTTTTAATTTTTATTTATCTGAGGGAGAGAGAAAAAGAGAGAGGGAGAGAGACTGTCAGTAGGGGAGGGACAGAGAGAAAGGGAGACACAGAATCTAAAGCAGGCTCCAGGCTCTGAGCTGTCAGCATAGAACCTAACATGGCCTGAACTCACAAACCAGAGATCATGACCTAAGCCGAAGTTGGATGCTTAACTGACTGAGCCACCCAGGCACCCTCTGAAATCACAGGTACATTCAAACTAACTGAAACTAGAGTCTAGCAAGAAAAAAAAAAAAAAAGATCAAAATCTGACTCTGTCAAAGTGATACACCTATCATCCTAGCTAATTCACAGGTGGTCTTTTGGAATTAGCATATTTGCTAACTTTTAAATAATTTTAAATAATTATTATAAATATATTGATAGATTAAATAAACTTCACATTTTATAGACAAAGAAATTGGATTAGGATGTTTAAGAAATTGCTTAAGACGTGCCTAAAGGCTCAGTTGGTTAAGGGTCCTACTCTTGATTTCAGCTCAGGTCATGATCTCATGGTTCATGGGATAGAGCCATGCATTGCATTGCAGGGGATAGTCAGCATGAAGCCTGCTTGGGATTCTCTTTTTCTCCCTCTCTCTCTACTGTCCCCCTGGTTACGTGTGTGTTCACACACTATCTCTCTCAAAATAAATAAATAAACATTAAAAAAAAAGAAATTGCCTAAGATCACTAAGCTTATATAGACACCCCAAAAAATTGTAATTCTTTTTATTTAATTTAAATTCAGATTATTTAACATATAGTGTAGTATTGGCTTCAGGGGTAGAATTTAGTGATTTATCATTTACACATAACAGTCATGTGTAACACTCATCCTTATACCCGCCTTTAATGTCCATCACCACAGTCTATCCCCCCTCCCACCTCCCTCCCAGCAACTCTCAGTTTGTTCTCTGTATTTAAGAGTCTCTCATGGTTTGCCTACCTCTGTTTTTATCTTTTGCTTCCCTTCCTTTATGTTCATCTCTTTTGTTTGTTTGTTTTTTTTTTTAACGTTTATTCATCATTGAGAGACAGAGTGAGACAGAGCAAGAGCATGGAAGGGGCAGAGAGAGGAGGAGACACAGAATCTGAAGCAGGCTCCAGGCTCTGAGCTGTCAACACAGAGCCTGACACAGGGCTTGAACTCACAAACCACAAGATCATGACCCGAGGAGAAGTCGGACGCCCAACCAACTGAGCCACCCTGGGCCCCATTATCTGTTTTGTTTCTTAAATTACACGTATGAGTGAAATCATATGATATTTGTATTTCTCTGCCTGACTTACTTTGCTTAGCATAATACACATCAGTTGCATCCATTTTACAAATGTCAAGATATCATTCTTTCTGATCACCAAGTAATATTCCATTGTATATATATACCATTTTCTTTTTATCCATTCATCAGTCAATGGATATTTGGGCTCTTTCAATAATTTACCTATTGTTGATAGTGCTGCTATAAACACTGGGGTGCATGTGCCCCTTTGAATCAGCATTTCTGTATACTTTGGATAATTTACTCTAGATCCCATGTGTACTATTCTTTCACCTTTACCACAGTTCTGACTAATAACAGGAAAACATAACCAAAATTTTATAGATAATTGCCCTAAATTACCCTAGAAAACATCATCCACACCTAGTACTCAATTTACATCTCTTTGCAAAAGATTTCCCAACATATATATAGCTTTAGACCTAATTTCTTGCCCAGATTTCACAAATCTGTCTTCACCTATAAGTCTAACCATCAATGCACAGCCAACCAGTCAACCGACTTACATCCCTATCTTTGTGAAGTCATCATCCTTACGCTACTCGTGTCATCCAATCAACGACTGCATCAGAGTTCTTTACTTACACCAATGGACCAATCATCTTTGATGACTGTTTATTCATATCTGAGAAATCGAATCCAGCCCTACAACCCGGTAATTCCCATATTCATCCTATCTTCTTCATACCATTGCTTTCTGGATCCAAGCCATCACAATTTTATTGACTCTTGTGACAACTTCATGATAAAGAGCAAATAAGTTTTGCACACTGACCTCACATTTAGTCATCTGGTCCAGAAAGGACATACAAATGTTACAAATACTGATAAGTGTACATTTTTAAGTTCTTTGTATATTATGGCTTATACAATAAGATATGTCTTATATTTCAGCATTTCTCACCATTTTAGTGGGTTTGGGATACTATATATTTTATAATATAAATATATCATGTATTTTGTTTCTAAATGCTTATAGCTTCATTTATACTCTTGGATCTAAGCATCTAGGTGTCAGGGGAAAGCACAATAAAAAAGGGAAGGGTGCTTGTAGTTTCACTGAAACATCCTGCAGCTTCTTTGAATTTACGAAATTAATGTCAGCACTCGAAGACCAACAACAAACTGCTAAACTCTCTGATATTTTTGCAGACTAGCATCCCTCTAACCCATTTCTATTCAGTATATATTTGTGCAGACCTTCTCCATTTGTAAATAGAAATTCACATCACACACATCTATCTGCATCCACAAATATTTCCACACATGTAAAACACAGTTATACTTTGTAGAATATGCAATTACTCCCATTAAATTTAGCAATGCTTAAAAGAGGTTGTAGTGGTTT